TCACGGGCCTGCCCTCACTGTAACTATATATACTTAACTTGTACATAGGTTACACTCCAGTGATAAAATCGACTAGAGTTGACCCCCCTTTTAGTTCTCGTTGCCAGTAAGTAAATTAGGGCACAGACATGTAACTTGGCACAGCGCTCCTGGCCTAAGTCACTGAGGCTGAAGCCCTCTGCCATGGAGACAGCTCCTTCGTCTTGATCCGGTCTCTAACAGGCTCGTCCTTAACCTTGTGCTTGTGCTTGTCCTTGTACTTAAAGCAGGAGTGGGCACCATTGACACCGGTATCTGCCAAAAAAAAACTTCACTGGCTTCTCAAGTCCTCTGGATTTGCCTGGGTCATCCCTTATTTCGGCTGGGACACCATTGCACATCGCACTCTGTCACATGCCCCTCATGTGCTTCATGGTAAATGGAAACCATGCCATCAGCTTTGACATATTCAACTTCAGGGCAACTGAAAATGTGAGAAAGGGATGCTCCAGTTGCATGTGCGGAGTAGCCATTCAGGACTACGAAAGTTAGCCTATCTTCGACAGGAAATTCCCAATATCATCTTACTTTCATACCGGTGATTGATGGAAAATTCTGACCCAGGGCTCCGAGCGGATATCCAAGTGATACCCTCGATATGATGTTCCATATCTTCGCCGGATTTCAGCACACTAAGCAATGAGTCAGCCAGTATTATGCTATGCTGTGTGTAGGACCTACACAATGTACGAGTTGGGCTTTACTGGACCCTTCAGCTTGGTATGAACAGAAGCAGCAAGGGCCATTGTGATAGTGGAAGCGAATATAGCAATGGGAATGACTGTGGCTGAGAACTTTATTGGTACAAGGAAGACTGAGAGGGCATCCAAAGAGTTATATATATAGTAATGTGAAACCCAGTTTTCGCCTTGGTCTGCACAATATACAACCTGATAATAGGCAGGCTGGTCCTGGGAATAAGTGGGGAACGCCACCGGAAGGGGCAGAACATGCTGCTCTTCTTGCCTTGCAGGCTTGTTCACCATCAACGTTGCCCTCAGCTGAGTTTCTCAATCCTCCAGCAGTCGTTCTTGCTTTTCCACATTCCTTAATCCACAATTGCACGGTGAATTCAGAATCACTGATTTACACTGCAGCGCATGGTATTGGTGGAGTGGAGCAGGATTTTAATCATGTCATTTGGCAGACTGTGCCTACGGCTTGTTGGAAGGATTTTACACAAATTTTACATGCACACCCTAGGGTTGCTGAGGCTGGGAGAGAACATGGATTCAAATCAGAATCCGCGGATTCCGAACTCATAACCACCTACTACTCGTGACCCAGTCAATATAAAATGGTATCATGGGGTTACCATCCAACCTACCTTCTTAGATAGTATTTGAGCGTTTGAGTGCATGCACCCATGCACTGGTGCACTGAGAGAAAAATATGTTGGGAAAGTGGTTTACGGAGGGGCCCAAGAAGCTCTGGGGTGCCCATGATCGGTGTTTTCAATTACAATACAATGTGCAAGCACTTCAGCGCCAAATGTATTGCTGGCATTGTCTCCCGATCCATTGTCATTGCTGCTGCCATCATCGACAACGTCAAAGTCAATCTTCACAAATTTCGCATATTTTTTTCTTTGTTCTATTTCCCACTTGCTGGCAAGATAATTTATTATATTAGCCTTAGCATTAGTGTTTGTCATTGTTATTGTTCAATGTAACAACAGCATGCAAGGTGCAAAGCGGTTAGAAAAAGCGACAGACTGTACAAGTGAGCAGTAAAAAGGACACAGTGAGAAAAGATGGGTGAATGACAGAGAGAGGTACAAGTAAACTAGCAAAAAGGGAAGACACTATGTAATAGTGGCATACAATCAGCCTCACAATAGTGAATCAAGGAGGTGTGAAATAACTGTTTATGCATGAAGTTGAAGGCAAAAGCATGCAGGATGCAAATGAAAGAGCATAATAATTCTGGCCACACCACCTTATGGCTACATGCCCAAGCAATGTTAAGTGCTGTCAGTCACCCAGAAATCCCAGCACCTTCCCTAGCAGGACAACATAGGAAAGCGAAATAAAATCCCGTAGATAAGCAGCTGTCCAGTATCCCACAGATTTTGAGCCACACCTGTGAAGTTCATTGCTGCATGGTGTTAGCCGCCCAGCGCTCATCTTGAGTCAAGCATGATGGTGGACAACCATGGTTGTGATCTGAGTCAGAACGTTGTTTGCATGTTATGGCCAACCATCTTTGCCGATTACAAACCCAGATGAGAGGTTAGTAGAGCCTGGGGAATATTCATGACAGACCATGCCAGGATTAAGAGTGCATGCATGCCAATTGAATAGTACTTTGTATATCACTCAATATGTTTCTGCCCTGTCCAACCCACCCTCTCCCTCTGTGGTATGTTTGTGTATCTCAAAGCTGGCATTTGGATCAAGCAAACAATTTTCATCCTGACCATTCTGTTGTTAGAAGTTCAATGATGACTGATGGCACTTAATATGGCTTTGGCCACTGTGGACATAAGGTGGTGTGGCCTGGACTATCGCTTTTTTTTCTTTTACTCTATTTCCATTCCTTGGAAGCTTTAGGGTGTCAGGGCACACCCACCTGACCCCGCACTGCACCCCGCGCTGTAATGCACTACTCCGCTTCCCCCGCTATCACTCCCCATCCCTCCTTTCCCATTTCCCCCTTTTCTCTCTATTTCTATTCTATGGTCGATTTCCCTTTCTCCATGTACCACTACATACCTAACCCTGCCCCCCTGATCGCCACACGTGCCACGCACACTCCTGCCTACTGAGCGGCCACCTCCGGGATCTCCTGCAGAGACAGAGGTGCAGCTGTGTGCAGAGATGATGTGGCTTCCTCCACATGACCCTAGCTGCATGTATATAATAGCGCCTGGGGTGGGAACAGAAGAAGCAGCCTTCTTCTCAACTTCCCACTTCAGACTAAGTGGTCGGGGATGCTCACCCTGCGATGGGATCGCTGCTACACATAGCCAGTATTCATGTTATGGAAATGGGAATTTCCCATTTTAGACTCTTATGGGTTCTGTGTCACATGATTTGTATAGTAATTAAGTTTAACCAATCAATAAACAACCAAAAACCCGCTGTGCTAACATCTGTTACAACTAATGTTAAACTGCCTGTGATAACATCTGTATAACCATATGAACCCCATTCCCCAACCTTTCCCCTTTCCTGCGCCTCGAACGGACGAAAATGGGCGCCTCCGGCCCCATTTTTGTAACAATTCATCCCACCGAGTCCTGCACGCTGGGACCTCACCGCTTTTGGAGCTGTCCCTGACATAGGGCCCATAGAATATGGTCTTTCATTGATCCAACACCCCCTCAGTTCACTCTTGCCAAACTTGGGGTGGAGTGTTAGTTTTATTGTTTGTTAAGACTCTTACTAACAAATCTTCTATGGTTGTAGGCACTTTATCTCACACCCTATCCGACATTATCATTATCCTGTTATGCCAATGGGGATAGGACTATTGGCACACCATTGGAAGGATTTGTCAGGGACAGCTCCGAAAGCAGCGAGGTCCTGGTGTGCGGGACTCGGTGGGACAAATAGCGGCTGTGTGTAGTGGTGATCCCATTGTGGGTGAGCATCCCCAACCACTTAGTCTGAAGTGGGAATGTGAGTTATCATTAAAAGGGAAGGCTACACTACTTGCCTGAAGTGGGAATGTGAGAAGAAGGCTACTTCTTTGGTTCCCACCCCAGCTGTTATTATATACATGTGGGATTGGTCACGTGGGGTGTGCCATGTCACCCTCACACACAGCCGTGGTTCTCCGGGTGCCTCCGCAGGAGATCCTGAGAGGGCCCGCTGTGGGTGCGGGGCGAGTGCAGCGGCAGTAGTGGCGATGTAGGGATGGTAAGATACAGGAGGGGAAATGGGCATGTGCGCCGGTGGTACATTGAACAGCAGGAAAGGTGGTCCATGTAAGAGAGAGAGGAGGAAAGAAAGAAAGAAAGAAAGAAAGGAGAAAGGAAGTGGTGCAGAGTGGGGAAGCGGAGCAGGGGTCAGGCAGGGCATGCCAGGGCATGCCCTGACAGGATTGTGAATGCATTGGAAAGTATGGATTTGGAATCAATGTAATAATTACCATATCAATGAACGTAGCAGTAGGGTTAATACATGGGTAGTAACAATGCAAGCAGGAAAAAGAACAAAGAAAAAATATGGGAAATTTGTGAAGATTGACTTTGACGTTGTCAACGATGGCAGCAGCGATGACAACGGATTGGGAGATGATGCCGGCAATACATTTGGTGCTGAAGTGCTTGTGCATTGTATTGTAATTGAAAAAACCGATCATGGGCACCCCAGAGCTTCTTGGGCCCCTCTGTAAACCACATTCCCAACATATTTTTCTCTCAGTGCACCAGTGCATGGGTGCATGCACTCAAACGCTTGAATACTATCTAAGAAGGTAGGTTGGATGGTAACCCCATGATACCATTTCTTGTGCATGGGCAAAGGCGTAACAGATAGCGTGGTGATGGCCCCAACAGGATGTCAAAGCCTCTTGATTTGAAGTGAGCTGGTAGATACAAAAACCCCAAAAAAAGGAGGCGATGGGGCAGGTGGAGGGTAACGATGAAGACAACCGAGAGTAGCAGCAGAGAAGTGCCAACAAAAGAGAAGAAGTGAAGTTACAAAAACAAGGCATGAGCCAAAAAATGAAAGACACCATAAACATCCGGGATCCAACTTGCAAAGGGTAACCAAGGCTAACTGCCTTATCCAATGCAAGACCGAATATTCAATGCCAACCAACCACCCTAACCAAAATTAATAAGAGAATTAGTTAGAAATATACTGTACCCACATGACCAACTACCGGCTGGGTCCTGAGCGTGACACAAATTTTTCAACCGGCGACTCAGTTTGATGCGTGACACCCAACCGGCCAGCCGGGCCCTAAAAGGGAGGCAGTGCTAATTTCGGGAAAATTAGTCACGTTTGGCAATGAGTAAGAATTTGAAAAAAAAAAAATTTCGGTTGGAGCGCCCCCTTGTAAAAACTTTCTTGCACCAGTTATCACATATGGACGGTTTCACGCTTGCACAACAAAGTTCTTCTTGTGCGGATGAACCTATTTCATATAGTAACATCCCTACTATGCTCATTGGACCCTACTTTCCCAAGGAAACCCTTTCCGTCGCCGAGCTGCTCCGGTTCAAGGTTCCATCCCTCCAAACAAATCTACACTCATGTGCATGTCTCAGCTATCACCCACCCTCCATCAGAGATATAATCGAGAGTGATCTCCGCAACACACACTGGCCTTCCTACCCCGCAATTAATAATCTAATTTCTGAATATGAGTCCAACTTTGACAACCCACCTTGTTCGGTTAAATTTGGCACACGTTACATCCCTATCAAAATCCTCCAAATTTGGGAAACCCTCTTTCGTGTTCAGAACCTGCAGAAGGTGTGGAAGGAATCAGAGGTGCAAGTCAGGAAGCTGGCAAACCGTTACCCTGCTCAGCGTGTTGCTATCCTAGCAGCTCAGAAACAGCTCCTATCATCCAAGTGGAACACCAAAATCCTTGGATTTTCAAAATCAACTTCTGGCTGTATTGGAGGGCTGACGCGTTACCTCTCTTTCTCCTGCCTTGTCACTACAGATATTTCGTACCATATTGAACTTCTGAAACATGCCCTAGAGGTTGCAGATATAAGCGCTAGGCTTTTGAGCCCTCTGGACATTCAGTACTTGACTGGGTGTGCAATGCAATCAGATGGGAATGGGCCAGAAAGATATCGACGAAGTCTCACCTGCAAAATGCTCCACCAGTTTGGTGCTGAGCTCGCATCTGGATCTGTACATCAATTTGGAGGGATTATCCATGTCAATAATCACTGGATCGCATTCTCCATTTCCCCCCTAGAATCAACCATTTACCTCGGTGATTCCTTTCACAAGCCAATGGGAGATGATGGGCAATCGGTTGCAGTGAAGGAAGTGATCAGGGCTCTTCAATGGTGGCTTGACATATCCAGTCCAGAGCCGAGCCAGTCTGCGTCTCTGTTTCAGATTCAATGGCTACCAATTGCGTACCAAAATGATTTTGTATCATGCGGCTTCTTCGCTCTTGATGCACTCATGCATCACCTTATCCCAAACAAGTATCCACTTCACACCGGTGAAGATGCAGCAATACTGCGTGTCAAATTTCTGACATCCATCCTTGACCGTCACAGCGCACAGGTAAGTAACTGAGTGAACCAACAGGATGGATGAAATATAACTTCCCTGTGATAAGGCAGCACCGACACAAACAGCGACAATGGCCGCTACACTTGTGGCAACACCGGTAACAGCATCAGTCCAAGTTGCGAGGATGCCGGAATCACCGGTGCTGCCTGCAATCCTCATGACCACCCCAGCCACAGTGGACAACCTGGTTGGTTCAAATACCCGAGAGCTGGAGGGAAGAAAATCAAAGGTAGACCTCACCATCCAGGAGGGGAATGACAAGCACGGGCTGCTCCAATTCTTCAGCCGTGTGAGTCACGAAGAATTTGAGCAACAAACGATGATCGAATTTGAAAGACTCGCTGAGAGACGCAAAGGAGTGCAGATGGCAGCAGACCTAGCAGCAAGGAGAAAGGTGGAGAGAAGTCGAGCATTGGCTCGGGAACGTCAGCAGCGTCGCCGAACGAAGTTGGTAGAGGGCAAGGAAGAATTGAAGGAAGAGGTAAACCAAGTGGTCTTGTTGAGAATGTGCTAGTTTCTAATGGAAAGGATTGCTTAGGGCTTGGTTGATATGGGGTCCAATGCAAGTGCCACAGGTGTGTTGGTTCCGATCGCAGAGTTGTCACGGCCAAAGCGTCAGATTCAGGATTCAATGAAGGAACGAAAGCGCCAAAAGACTACTCACCATTTGGACAATGTTGTCCAGCCTCCTAGGCGAAAAGTGCGCAAGTTTGCCCGGGCAACAAACTGGTTCCAGCCCATCTTCTGGACAGTGATAACGGAAGTGGCCACAACTGTTGGCCGGAAAATGAGTCCTACCGAAATAGTGAAACGGTGTCAAAGGAGAAGCTGGAGACTATTCCACTCACTCCGTGCCGACGTTGTTTGTAAATGGATCGATCGTTCAGGGTCGCGTCCATGTTGGTCCAATGAAACACTTGCGAAGGTTGAAAAGGAGAATTGCCCAGGAAGCGGCATTACACAGAGGGGGATATTGGTGAGTTGGGAACTAGCTAGTCGAGTTTTGAAGACTTATAAGATGAAAAAACATAGGCATCGTATCCTGAAATTGCGGAAGTGATCAAACAGATGTTGTTAAGTGTTCGACAGGCTGGTGCTGCACTGGATGTGTTACGGATACGGAGTCTCCAACGACCATATCCGTCACATGGTCAAAGACTTCTCCTCATTATCGTTCCTCCCTTCTTTCTCCCTTCCGTCCTCTATCCCGATACCCCATCCTCCTTATCCGTTCTATCCCTTTCCCCCCCCCTCGTGCAAAGCTTTCCCCAACTGGGGTTTTGGTGCTGGCCGAGGTTATTTGTGTTTCGCGGGATTTCCCGCTCCCTTACCATTTGTAGATAGTCACGCGTCTTGTACGGAAACCGCCGAAGGCGGTTCCCGCTAACTAACAACTGCTCTACAACTGTCTCGTGTACCGTCTTCTGTAACAACCCTCCCTGTGACTCAACTGAGCCTGTGTGACTGTACAACTCCCAATATGTCTTATAAGTCTGGTTATATTGAGTCCTCTAACGGCCCTCGCCACGAGAACTCGAAGTCGAGAGTCGAAGACTCTCGACGTGTGTATCATCCTATTGAACCTGTACCCTATGGGTCTTCATCACTCCGCTCTCCCCCCAGTGCTCAACATACGACATCCCATCTCGATCATGGTGATCGTGAACACTATGAGGCCCACTTACCCGCGATGCCGGCACGTTCGCTACGCGAACGCCAAGTAGCCACCCATCCACCGTCTGTTTCTTCCCTTGCCAGTCATCATATGTCCCCACCAACGGTACGTTCCCTTTGGGAACGCCAAGTCACCGAAGGCCCTAATAGTCAGCCCTCATTGCACACCTACGGTATCAACCCGCTACCGGTACGTTCGCACTGCGAACGCCAAGTACCCGATGGCAACTACGCGAAACTCTCACCCATCTCACCAGTCGCGACCTCGCACACGGTACGCTCCATTGAGGAGCACCAAGTATCCGTGGCTGACCCATCTGTCCTGATATCTCCGACTATCAATCATCAATCCCTTAATAGCTCACTACATCACCCATCGCGATCGATGGGAATTCGATCGTCCACTCCCAGGTCAGACTGGGATCACTCATCGATTACACTTCCAGTTATGGTACAAACTAGACATGACTCTCGTCTTCCCACTATAAGAACGGATCGAGGAATGGGGAATTTCCCCCATCCCCGTAACAGGATGCTCACCAAGTCCGTGGTATCATCCTCGCGCAAATTCAACATGCCCAGCCCAGTATCTTGAGGACTGTTGTGAGGACGGATGGAAGCACGTTTTCTGCAAGCATGGGATGGGTTCGGAAATTTCTCAAACAGGAAATGAATTGGAGCCTGCGCCGAGCAACGCGTGCTTCCCAAAAAACCCCCCCCGATGCGGATGAAAAAATCCGTTCCTCATTGCTTCGCCAGGCCTACTCTATCCGTCAATATGTGATTCCTGACTGTCTTCGGGTGAACTCAGATCAGACACAAGTGATTTACCAGCAAAACTCAGCCACTACATATGAAAAGAAGGGATCGCGCCAGGTCTCCACTGTCGGCCACGATGAGAAGCGTGCATTCACTCTCAATGTGGCTGTCTCTGCAAGTGGAATCCTTTTACCCTTCCAGGCCATCTTCCGAGGCAAAACTCCAGCAAGTCTCCCTTCACCGAATGCCTCAAGTTATCCTGAAGCAATGCATCTTGGCTTTGTTTTCGAGATCTCTGGCAATGACACATACTGGGCTAATATTGCGACAATGAAGTCATTTGTAACTCGCATCTTAGTTCCTTATTTCAATACTGAAAAGGACCGGCTCTCCCTTGACCCGCTTCAGGAGTGCATTTGGCAGCTCGATGTGTGGCCGGTCCACGCATCACTTGAGTTTCGAGTCTGGATGTATGAAAATTATCCCTGGATTATACTCGACTATGTTCCTGGTGGATGTACAGGTCTCTGGCAGCCCTGCGATGTCGGAATCCAGCGTCCACTGAAACATGCTGTGAAGCAGGCTCAGCAGACTGCCGCTGTGAAGGAGGTTTATTCACAGCTACAAAGCGGTATTGACTCATGTCGCATAACTCTCAATACCAAGCTAGGTGTACTAAGGGACCATGTCCCTGAAACATTAGTACATGCTTTCCAACATATGAATCGACGCGACAGAATTCAGAAAGTGAGTCACTCCAAACACAAATCCTCATTTCCGTGCATGAATACTAAGTAGTTTAGGCCTTTGAACTGTGTCACTCAGGCGACTTCAATCTGTCTCACCCTAGTATTACCAGTCGCCCACTACACCTGATCCTCGATGCTCTTCATGAACACGATCCCGACCTTGCAAGAGCGATAACAGGACCGCGAAGCCGACCCCATAATAACAGCAACATCCACCCAGACTCACATCCTGTCATACACGAGGGAGAATTCACTGAGACCATAGAAGATGATGTTGATGTAAGGATGGAAGAAGTCTTTGAGCACATGGATAGGTGCACGGCCCCAGACGGGCTTGAAGTGGTTAATGGTGGCCTGCAAGTTGCGTCAACTTGCACTGAGGAGGCTGAGCCTGACACCCTCAATGAGGTTTCCTTGGCTCCCTCCGACCTTGGCCGTGGAATGCGAGCTAGAAAAACACGCAATTTGGATGAGGAGATGGCTGTTTTTCGGTTTTGAACATACCAATTACCCAAAAAAGAAAATTTGAAATTGCCTTTGCATAGCCACAAGCGAATGAGCATTTTTGCGTGACATGGGACAATTTGACCGCTTGCCTCGCGTGACGCGTGACAGAGTCTTCAAATGAGCCTGACCAGCGAGCCCGCGTGACGCGTGACCGGTAGTTGGTCATGTGGGTACAGTATGTCAGAGTCATAGAAAAAGGAAATAAACTCCAGCGTGTGCGGACACAAGAGAGATAAAAGACTGTAGAGCAACAGTGTGCAGCAGATGCTAACGGAATAACCGCTTGCTCTAGTAGATAGCTCAGTCTCAAGCAATATGCGCGAGAACTGAGGAAAAGGAAACTAATTCAAAAGATTGAATATAGTTTGTGGTCTTTGCGGATAAGTCCGAAGTGACCAAAATAAGTAAGAAGCAAAAGGTGTTGTGACCAAATAGTCACGCTACCGCGGGAATGTGGCTGTCCGGGCGAGTTCCTCGCTCGGATGTGGGAATGTGGCTGTACGGAAACTCGTCCGGCCTCCCATAGCACACGGTTCCTCCAACATGCCCACTCCGTGTGCGCCCACTGGAACGAGTCCAGGTGAGTTTCCCTAGCTCTCAATGCTCCTCCAGAGTCATCTGTAGCGATGGGGTAAATCCTGCAGTCCAAATAATGGATGCCCAGATCACACAAATTGGATGTGAGGCGTTGTCAAAGAAACAACAAACACAAGATAAGAGATAAAAGAAAGAACGGGGTTTCAAAACAGGTGAGTATCATTATTCACCGTTGAACAGCCTTTAGCTGTCTCTCCCGTCAATTTCGCCTACTAATCCTGCCTCTTAGCAGTACTGATTCGGCTTGTGCACAACCGCGCGTCGATCGGATTGTCAATCTCGACATCTCGACATCGTTCGAAGTTCTCATACTTCGCGATAAATGCTTCCACCCGGCTTGAGGTTTCTCTGTGCCTCATCCCTTGATTGCATCGGGGAGCTTCGGCTGTGATCGGTGAGGATTCGCCATCGTTTGTTGATCGGTATGTTGTCTCTTCACCTGCGCTTCCTGCGCATTCGTTGGTGTGGACCGATCTTTGCTGATCTGACTCTGTAGTCGTCGATCCTGGCGATCTGTTCCATTTGAACAATGGGATTGGATTGGGGAATGGATATCGATCTGGATTTGGAGTGAATGGGAGGTTTCGGCGGTTCAGTATGGCCAATTCGCGTGCATGTCTTGCTCCGTCGTATCCATTGGTCATCGGTTCCCCCCTTGAAGCGCCACCTTCCCAACTATCTTCTCCATCCCTACATTCATCTCTGCAATCCTCTCCACTCTCATAGTTTTCTATGAGTTCTTCCATCCAGTCTGAGGCATCGCGCATCGTTGCTTTGTCAGAGTCTTGTAGCGATTCTGACGTGCGCGAATCAATTTCGTCACCATTTTCCGTCCTTGAAAACGCGAGTGATGACCCGTCGTCGTCTTCTGTATCGCCCACTGAAGAATCCGTCTCGATTTCGCCCACTGAAGTCGTTGCTTCGAAGATTTTTGGTGTATGACTTGGGCGTTCCGGATTTGAGTCCGTACTAGTGTCCGGGTCTGACTCCCTGGACAACTTCCTTGATCTCTGGCGATTGGATCGACGGTGTCCATTATCTGTGGTGGTGAGCCGCTCTGCACGCGCTCTTAGCCTCGGTTTTGATGTCACTGGTTGGTCTGATGCATAGTCAGTGTTTTGGTCAATTTCGCGATTCTTATCGACATTTTTCGACGATTTCGAAGGATATTTGCGCGTTGATCGACGGGGAATGGATTCTGTGGTGACAGGCCGCTTCGCGCGAGCATTTGGCGTCGATTTCGATGGGTTTTGGAGTTTGGATGGGCGAGTTTTCGTCGATTTGGAGATTTTCGGTGCGCACTTCTCCATTTTCTGGTTCTTCGCACCTTTCTCCCCCCTTAAATCGCCATATTGACGTCCTGCAACGCCTTTAGGTTTACTCTCAGCCAATCCTTTCCATATTCCCCCCTTTCCATCGACCACACCCATTCGCGCGCATCTGCTACTGTCGGTTTCAATAAACTCGACCTTGCGCGCGCCGATTATCCGTCGTTTCTCCCGGTTATAGAGCATCCAGTTGCTCTTCCTCTCATCGAATCCGATGTAGACTCCCTCGAAAGATCGCACACCCAGCCTTTCCTGGGATTTTTCTGGTATGCGCATGTATGCTGCGCACCCAAATGGCCTCATCTGCCTGGGTTTCGGTTTCTCCCCAACATAGATCTCGTATGGGGTCTTCTCTCCCTCTGAGGC